CATTTTAATTTTTATTATAAGTTCTGGGATACATGTGTAGGATGTGCAGGTTTGTTACATGGACAAATGTGTGCCCCTTTGTGCAGGGACTCCATGAGCAAGCCCTGTGTGGCTGAGTGGCATCGTCCGTGAAGCCATCTCCCCCACCTGATTACAGGGAGCCCCACCCCTTTAAAAATCCTCTGGTAGATAAATATGCCACTAAAGATATGGTGGCATCCACACACAGCCACCATCTTCTCACACTCTGCCTACAGCAGGAGGTCTATGCGTATCTCTCTCCTTCCACCTCCCAATTTTGCAACTCTATTTTCCCCACGTTCATGACTGGCCAGCCAAGCCATGAGCCACTGCCCATGACTCATTCATTCATGCACTTCCTGGGGCATCATTTCACATCCTCCGCCTCCCATGGGCTTGTTTGGGTTTTGATTCCTAGTTCCCGGCTCGACAGCCATTTCCAAAGCTGTCCTGGTGTCTGCTCCAGGGCCTACTGCTCTTGTTGTAGATTCTCTATATGTATTTATTTTCTGGAATTAAAAAATCATTGCACTAATTTTTTCAATGCGGCATTTCCAAGGATGTGCAGTAGGAGCAGGTTCTTCTTACTGTAGATAGAATTGTTTCAAAACACCAGAAGTGTCTATTCGAGTAAAGGGCAACATGCATGGGGAAAGGAGCACAACCCACAAGGCGGGCAGCGGATTTTCACAAAGAGAGAGCTCGGTAACACAACACCCACATCACAGCGCAGCAGTCACAGCCTCCCGGAAACACCGTTGGATCCTACTCCGTCACAAAACCACCCTACTCCATCATAGAGTAGTCACTCTATTTCTAACTCAGATTAGTTCTGCCAGTTCTAGTTGAATGGCACTAGACGGTCGCCATTATGCCCCTGGGTCTCATCATCTCACTGTGTGTGTTCATAGCCTATTCACTGCCATGGCTGTCCAATGCTCCACTTTATAAATAGCTCACACTTCTTGTCCCTTCACTGTTGATAGACAATTGTATTGTATTTAAATTTTACAAATCATGCTGCTATGAATAATATTTTCATATATTTTGGCACACACATACACGCATTTCTATTGGTTTATAACTAAGAGTGCAATTGCTGGGTCATAGGTGACTGGATGCTTGTCTTAGTCTCTCAAAAAACAAGTTTCTAGTAGTAAACAAACAGAAAAGGAGGGTAAATCTCTAACTTTAGAAATTATTCAGATAATGAGGAAGGAATTAACAGACTTAGCCATCCAACAGCAATGACAACTAACAACACAACAAAAGAAAAAAACTAATGTGAGTTTCTTTCTCTTGGTGGAAGAACACAATCCAGTACCAACAAACAAATCCAAGTGAAAAAGAAATCAAGCCTGAAGCTAAGCTAACCTCCATAGCCAGTTACCAATTTAAAGGCAATACATGTAATAGAAATACATATTCAACTACGCCTTGGGAGCAATCAGCAAAATGCACACTATGGGAAGCTCTACCACACAATGTACATTTCAAAGAGAATCTAAAGAATAAGAGAGAGCAAAAGCATATTTGTAAAGGTGAAACTAAATTATAATTTTGGATGATAAAATATAAAATAGAACAAAGAAGTGATGATTATAAAAGTCAGGATGAGTTTTTATCTGGGGAGGAAAGAGTTTATTGCTGAGCTGGGACAAATGATGGGGCTTCTGGTTATTCTCGCAAACATCTGTCCCTGGTGTTTAATGGGTGTTTACTTTTCATTAAAGGACACAAATTTTAGACAGTTTTTTTTTCCTTTTAAAATCCTCTATTTTATTTTATGACACAAAGGCTAATGAAAAATAATTGAGAGAGTACGATTACTGTTTTGCAAAAAGCCTCCTCCCCATCCTCCTCTCTGGACACTGAACACCCAGAACAACCAGCAGCTCCAGGAACCCCAGCAGAGGTGACCCCACTTCTAAGTGCGCATGCAGCTTACATCAGGAGAGGCAATACGAAGGTCTACTCCTTGACTCCCGGAAGAACCTTGTGGGAGGAAAGTCTCATACGTGCCGAAGCAGGAGACTGAAGCCTCAGGTATTTCCTGTCTAATACATAAAATATAGAAAGAAGAATCTGGTGGAAATACGTACCATAAGTAATTAGATATATTAGTCTTAAAGAATATTAAGTATCACGAGTGATTAAATATTAGTCTTAATGAATATTAAGCCTTGATTAAAGCCTTCTTGTGCTTTATTTGCATGATTATCTAGGAACTTCAGGTTGCTGTGGTCAGGCATTGATGGGGACATTATGGAATGTGGCCAGGAGGCAAGGGCATTGATAACTGCTGGACATCAACTGGTGGCGATCAGCAGAGATAACCTGTTGAATGCCGAAACCAAGCCCTCTGTCACCCCTCGTAAGGGTTGCTGGAAGGCATCTAAAATCTCTGCAGTAGCATCAGTGCTTGGGGAAGCACCCGCTACTCAGCAGACGTTGGAAGGGAACATTCCGTGTCCTGGGATGAGTCTGAGAACACTTCACACCCCCTTGCTCTTGTGGAAGGACTGATGTCAGTTAGCGTAACCCCCAGCAACCCCGGGTCTTAGTTGTCTCTATGTGGTGCTGTGCTATAGTGGCCACAGTCTGTGTCTGCCTTCACCCCCGACTTCTGCACCTGGTTCTTCTTTTGAAGATAGTGAGAAGTCGCATAATTCTTGAGGCCTTTGTTCTTACTTGAAAGGCATAACATAAAGTGCTGACGCATTTCTTTCCCCTGCTTTGGCTACTTGCAAGCCTTGGGCCCCTTGTTTGGCTACTTGAAAGACCTAGGCCCTTTGCTCCTTAGACACGTGACCCTGCCCCCCTATTTTGTACCCAGTAAAGGCTAGAGTGTCCGGGCACTCGAGGCCACCACCAGACTCCGCGAACTGGTGGTAGTGGACCCCTCAGTCCAACGTTTTTTTCTTTTTCTCACTGTCTTGTGTCTTTATTTCTACAGTTTCTTGTCTCCGCACCCGTAGGAGAAGTACCCTCTAGACCCAGCAGGGCTGGACCCTACAAACCTGATAGGACACAGCTGAGGGGAAGCCTTCCCCGCCGTCTGCAGGCTCTTGGCCATCAGTGTAGAGGGAGCAGGTCCTCAACTCTCCACAGGCACCTTCACGGCCAGAGCTTCCGCTCTGCATTGGAAGTAAGGCCTGGCCCTTCCCCTGGACTCGGTGACAGGCATCTCGCCAAAGGTGGAGATGACACCATTCCTCCCCCAGCAAACTCACCCTTCTTTTGCTCCACAGGAAAGTTGATTCAGCCAGGTGTCCCGTAGAAGAAATCCCAGGTGCATAGAAGAGGTGGATCTCAGGGCTGCGCGTGATCTGCAAAACGAAGCGAATGGACCACCAGGTGGCGCTGCTGCGCTGCTCCTGTTAAAGGCTGTGGACGCTCGGATGAGCTTTAAAGTGGAGAGAGGGATGTCATTGCTCACTCTCCAGGTTCCAAGTACAAAGTTTTCCTGCCCACCCCATCTTGTTCTCAATGCAAATAAGGACTGTCTCCTTCTCACCTCCCTGAACTGGGCTTTTGAACACTGGAAAGTGAATGTGATTTTTAGTTTCAGCGTGTCCTGACTTACTGTGCGGCCAGTAAAGTAAAATCAAAATACACATTGAATAAATAACAAATAAAATAACCCAGAGTGGGCAAAAGTTTACAATGTTTTTTTTTTTGTTTTTTGTTTGTTTGTTTGTTTGTTTGTTTGTTTAAGTCAAGATCTCACTCTGTTGCCTGGGCTGGAGTCCAGTGGTGTGATCAAGGCTCACTGCAGCCTTGAATTCATGAGCTCAAGGGATCTTCTCACCTCAGCCTCCCCAGTACCTGGCAATACAAGTGCCCACCACCACTCCCAGCTAAGGTTACTTATTTTTACTTTTTTAGAGACGAGGGTGTCACTATGTTGTCCAAGCTGGTCTCCAACTTCTGGTCTCAAGCAATCGTCCTGCCTTAGCGTCCTGAATTGCTGAGATTACAGGTGTGAGCTGTCATGCCCGGCTTGTAATGTACTGACACCATCATGGTTTCCTTCTCCACGTGTGGACACAGCAGCAGACACCCCTTGTCTCTTGGGCCAGGACACTGGGTAGAGTGGAATAGTAAAGTAACAGAGTCACTGCAGAAAGTGCCCACTTGGAAGAGGTCCAGTAGGGAAGGTCAGCTGCCCCTGGGCCACCATATTTAGGAATAACTCCACTTTCTGCACAAAACTGTTCTTTGATTACTTTTGTGTTCACAATAGTTCTGAAATCTTTGGATGAACAGTCTCAAGACTGGCTAGGTTATTATTTTTTTTAAACCTCCAAGATTTGTTGATCTTTTGTATGGTTTTTTGTCTCAATTTCCTTCACAACTTAACTCATTCTTAACATTTCACAGTCCACCTTCAGTTAATAATGTACTAGTACATACAGAAATCTTGCAACCATTTATCCTCTACAAAATGTCCATCTTTTATGGTATAGACATTATATGTAATTTATCTATATAGGCTATAAGTCCCACAAGAAAAATCTTTTTCTTGTCTTTAAACAGTTCTACGTTTACAAAGTGAGAGTAAATGAGGGGAGCAAGAGAGCCTTCTGCACTTAGCTGGATATTTACCACGATTGATCATCTTCGTCTTTTCTGATAATCTCAATTTCCACCTGGTATCATTTGCCTCTACCTTGAAGAATTTTCTTTACCAGTTGATACTGTGAAGATCTGCTGGTGACAAATTCTCTTAATTCTCTTTTACCTGAAGTATCTCCTTATTTTGCCTGTCCTTGAAGAACATCTGGGCTGGATATAGAATTCTTAGTTGACCTTATTTACTTCCTGTGCTTTAAAGATGTTATTCTACTTTTTGTTTGCTTGTTTGTTTCTATGGTTTTTAATAAGAAGACATTGGCCGGAACAAGAGGAACAGAGACACTAACATTGGGAAAATAACGTGATAGACCTAAAAACCTATCATATTTTTTTTTATTCAGTCCCCTTAGAAACTGCCAAAAATTGCCAACACTGACTATATTTCAAGTCATCATGGCGAGTATTAGGAAAAGTTTTCAATTAGCAATAATTGTGCCTCGGATGAACCTCACTCGTTATGATACTGCCACTGCAAAAAGCTTCTATCACATCAATAATGACAGAAACCTACATAAATCCACACTCCAATGAAGGGCAGAGATTGTGTGACATGGTTTTTAAAAAAAAAAAAACACAGAACCAACCATATGATCTTTCTAGACATACACTTTCTTTTTTCTTTCTTTCTTTTTTTTTTTCAATTTGATGTTTATTTTTAGTTAAGGGGTACATGTGCAGGTTTGTTACATAGGTAAACTTGTGTCATGAGGTTTTGTTGTACAGATTATTTCTGTGCCCATTAGTACCCACCCAAGTATTAAGTCTTAGTACCCATTAGCTCTTTTCCTCATCTTCTCCCTCCTCCCACCCTCCACCCTCAAGCACACCCCAGTGTGTGTTGTTCCCTTCTAAGCGTCCATGTTTTCTCATCATTTAGCTCCCACCTATAAGTGAGAACATGTGGTATTTGGTTTTCTGTTCCTGCATTAGTTTGCTAAGGATAATGGCCTCCAAGTCCATCCATTGACTCAAGTCTTTGTTATTGTGAATAGTGCTGCAGTGAACATATGGGTACATGTAAGTCAGGCACTTTCTTTTTTTATTTAATGTATTTTATTTTACTTTAAGTTCCAGGATACATGTGCAGAATGTGCAGCTTTGTTACACACATAGAGTCTGCCATGGCAGTTTCTGGCACCCATTGACCTGTCCTCTGAGTTCCCTCACCTGCCCCCTACTCCCCAACAGGCCCTGGTGTGTGTCGTTCCCCTGCCTCTGTCCATGTGTTCTCATTGTTCAACTCCCACTTAGGAGTGAGAACGTGCAGCGTTTGGTTTTCTGTTCTCGTGTTAGTTTGCTGAAGATGATGGCTTCCAGCTGCATCCATGTCCCTTCAAAGAACATGAACTCAGTCCTTTTTATGGCTGTGTAGTATTCCGTGGTGTATAGGTACCATGTTTTCTTTGTCCAATCTATCATTGGCAGGAATTTGGATTGGTTCCGTGTCTTTGCTATTGTAAATAGTGCAGCAATAAACATACATGTCCATATGTCTTTATAGCAATATGATTTCTAGCCACTTGGGTATATACCCAGGAATGGGATTGCTAGGACAAATAGTATTTCAGGTTCTAGATCTTTGAGGAAGGGCCACACTGTCCTCCACAATGGCTGAACCAGTTTACATTCCCACCAACAGTGTGAAAGTGTTCCCTTTTCTCCACGGCCTTGCCAGCATCTATTGTCTACTCACTTTTTAATAATTGCCATCCTGACTGGAGAAAGATGGTATCTCATTGTGGTTTTGATTTGCATTTCTCTAATGATCAGTGATATTGAGCTATTTTCATATGTTTCCTGGCCATGTAAATGTCTTCTTCGAAGTGTCTGTTCATATTCTTTGCCCACTTTTTAATGGGGCTGTTTTCTTTTTCTTGTAAATTGTTTTAAGTTCCTTGTAAATGAAGATATGAGCTCTCATCATTCTTGTGAGATGTAACAGGCATCCTAACACGGCAAGAAAATGAAATAAAAGACCAACAGAAGGACCAGGAGTAGTGGCTCCTGCCTGTAATTCCTGCATTTTGGGATACTGAGCTGGGAGGATCACTTGAGTTCAGGAGTTTGAGAGAAGCCTGGTAATGAGACCTCATTTCCACCAAATAAAAATAATTTTAAAAGAAAGATGATTAATAGATAGGAAATAAAGAAATAAAAGTCTTTCTTTGTCACCTACTTCATTGCACATGTAGGAAACACTCAGACGTTCTGAAAAGCTTCTAAAATTAATCATTCAATTTGCTAAATAGTTCATAAAATATATGTAGTAAGTCAAGACAGTTAGATGAACCTGATAAGACAGCAAACCATACCAGTCATCAAAGAAGTACAAGTTAAAACCACAATGAGAAACCACCACACATCCCCTAGAATAGGTAAGTTAAAAAGACATATGATAAATCCAAATACTGGCAAGAAAATGAAAAAAAAAGGAATGTCTGATATTGCTGGTAGAAATGCAAAAAATGTGGCAGCCAATTTGTAAAGCAGTTTGGCAATTTCTTATACAGCTGCCCATCCATTACCATGTGACCCAGCAATCCCACAAATATGCATTTATCCAAAAGAAATAAAAATGTAAGGCCACACTTGTGAACAGTTATTTATTGTGGCTTCATTAGTAACACACCATAACTGGAGTAATCCACATGTTTATCAAATGGAGAATAGAGAAACCAATGAGTAAACTGGGATTCCAGCAATACTCAGCAGCTGCTCAGCAACAAAAATGAATGGATGGCCTCATCTCAAACATTGTTATGCTGAGTGAGAGACCACACAAAGGACTACACAACATATGATCGCATGTCCATTAAATTCTAGAAATTTCACTACTGCAGTGACAGAAAGCAGAGCAGTGGTTGAGTGAAGGGAAGGGGTGAGGGTAGGAGCCAGGGATTAAATAGAAAGGGACAGAAAGAAAGTTTTTAGGAAAAAGAAACTGTTCTCTACAGTATCACAATTTGAGAGTCACTAGGTGGTGGGAACTGAGGGGAGAGGAGGGTGTGAGGGATGAGAGGGGCAGAGAGAAGGGCTGGGGAAGCAGGAGGTGAGGAAAAGGAGCAGGGGAAAGGACTCTAAAGCAGTGGAGGAGCCTAGCAGGGGGTTCTTAGGGCTCGGTATTTAGTACATTTTATATGGGACTGCCTAAAAACTAATGGCTTCCTCATGATTTTAGAAAAAGAAGGTTACAGAAATACCAAGTGTCCCAATAAAATATGCACAGTGCTTAGATGTGCATAGCTCACGAAAGCAGGCCCTGCTGGAGCGTCGGTGAAGAGCATTGGGACTGCATGGAGCACTTGCAACTTTGAGGTGATGGCTACAGGCTCCCGGTTCAATACACAGTAACAAACCTGCTTCTTTGTATTCAGGAGATGTTCTAGACTCACACAGGGAAACTCGGGCTAGGGAAGAAAGATAATTTTAAGTGCAACAACCCGGAGTCACAGATCCGTATGTGCCGGAGTCACAGATCCAACGCATGTGCCTCATGACTCTCGTGGGTCATGATAACTGGGTACATGGAGTTCTGTTCCATTCTGGGGGGAAGTTTATTTTGAGTTGTGCTGATGACAAGACCCTACGTGTATGGGATTACAAGAACAAGCGATGCATGAAGACCCTCAATGCGCATGAACACTTTGTTCCCGTAGTCCGGGAAAGTAAAACTTAGGAGCTTTGAGAGTTTAACTGTAATGCTGTTTTGACACAGGTCTTTGACAGATTGGAATCCTAACCATTCAGAGATTACCAATATTGTGCTACTTACTGTATTAATAAACAAAAAGAAAACTGGTCTCTATCTGGTGCCTTCAGGCAAAACTTCACCAGGTTTAAAGAGAAAACCCCTGTCTCTACACTTCCATTC